GCAAAGCGGTAAGAAAGCGATCCCAAACGAAGCCTTAGGTTTCGTTTGAGACAGCTTTCTTACTATTTTCTAATACAGTTTTAATTTTTTTTTTTTGTATTAAAATTTGTTTTAGAAAGCTGTCTCAAACCAAGCGCTTCTTTTGGGATAGTTCATTTACTTTTTTTTTTTTAGGGGGGGGTGGATATTTAGGTCAATTAAGACATACTCACACATACATCGTATACATAAAGCCTCGAATCCAAGATCTCTTAGTTGGTAGCCTAAGCTCTCAACCAACAGACCAAGGTGAGTTGTGTTATTTACTATTTTTTCCAGCAATTTTTAGTACAAATTTTTTAATCTAGAAACTTTTGTGCTATAAAATAGCTTTAAAAAGCAATAAATATAACTAAAATCCGAAAAGCTCCATCGAACAATTCTAATAGAATCCCTCAAACATAGAATATTTTTTTAGCATTTTAAGTGTCTCAATTATGTCAAAATTAGATGGTTTGGATTTGTTGATCTGTACAAGCATGCAATATTTGGAGATGGTTTAGTCATCCAATTAATGCCCCAAAGTTTTCTATTACCCTTCAAGTGCTTAATTTTGCCTCATTTTAATCACGGTTAGTATCAATAGATTATCTCGTCTGACTCATCGAAACTTCTGATTTGAATAAAAGTTCGTTAAAATAAAAATCCAAATCATCCAAAATTTAATTTTGAAAGATTTCTACTCAAATATGCATTAAGATTCGTGGTTGGTCCAATCTATTTTATTGACAAATCATTCATTTTGATGAGAATTGACTTTTTTTTTAGGTATTTTCATTATATTCCCTACATTATTATTTCTTTTCTTTTAATGTAGTTGAGCGAATGCTCTCATCATTTTGCAAAGAAAATAACAAAGAAATAGTAAATTGGGAAACAGTTGTGATCTTGTGTGTAGAAACTATTAAAAAATATCATTTAAGTTAAATCCTCTATAGTTTATATGTCCTAAAATTATTTTGACTTCCTTAATTTAAACAAATGCACTACAACTTCTATGTAGAAACTATTAAAATTCCTTCACATGTTTTTCTTAAGAAAATACTAAAAATATCTTATAGGAATAGAACTTATATTCATTTAGTTGAATAGTTTTTTCTAGGATTTTTTAAAAAAAGGAGCATGTATTTAATTAAATTAGGAATAAGAACAAAGTATCAAAAAAAATTTTGACAAAAGCAAATTAGTCAAACAGAATGGTGTATTACATTAAATGCATCAAAATATTTGGCGTATTTAGAATAAGTCAAACAGTTTGGAACATTCTGTTTGGCGCATTAAACTGAATGCTTCAAACTATTTTGCGCATTATTACAGTATTTTTAAAATTAATTCAGTTGATTGGGGCGAATGCGTTAAATCATTTTGTGTATTCTTTAGAACTAGCCATCCTGTTTGGCTAGTTTTTTTCTTTTTAAATTTTTTTAAAACACATGATCATATTGCTAATTTAAATTAAATATCTTGCTCCTATTTATAATTTTCTCTTTATTTCATAATTTTAATAAATCTAAAGCTAATTAAAATTTGAATATAAAACTTCTAAAATTTTAAATTATTTTTTTTACTATTGACATTAACTAAAATCAAAATTTAACAATAAAATTGCTTAAATAAAAAATGTCGAATGATTCACGCTAATACTGAAACTATGATATCTTTATTAGAATTTTGCTGAAATGAGACAATGCATAAAATTCTGGCAAAGTAGGAGGTTGGCGTTTTCATGGATCCATGGAGTTTTTATAACTAAGGTCCTCTATAAAAATTGCTTCATTGAAAAAAAAAGTTATTATTTTGTGTGGAGGTCGAATGTCATTTGGAGACCAATCAGAATGCGCCACGTCACCCATTCTCTCAGTATCGTGATCGATATTGCTGATGTAGTGCATTCTTCTTGGCCTCCAGAGGACGTTCTCCATTCGGTCCCCGCACATAATAATTACTCCATTAAAAAGGTGGTTGAAAATTCATATTTCCTCCTTTCTAGACTTTGGCCAAGCAGCAAGCATGATCGAAAGGGAACCGGTTCTACATTATTGCCTTCATGATGATTGAAATATAAAGATGAAAAATAATATTTTTTTCTTCTTTTAGGATGATGAATTTTTTAAAAAGTATTTTGAAAATGGATAAATTTTTAACATGTAATAAATGTATTATTTCATTATGAGATAAACACAACGACACAAATTTTTTTTTTCTATCCAATCCCAATTGGATCCAAATCATGGACCGAAGCACATTTGGAATATTCAAAATATTAATTGAATGGCTAAATGATATCTAAATATAACATACTTATAGTTGAATCGGGCAGCTCGACGAGACAAATACAATAAGCCAAATATCATTTAATTTTGACATCATTAAAACACTTAAATGCTAATCGAACGCTCCATGAATGAGGGAATCAGTATGGGTCATTCGATAGAATATTCTTAATTGGCCAGAATCTTCTTCATATTTATGGGGCATGCCACTCACAAAAATTTATAAATAGGCCCATGCTTCCTTTATGAAGGGACCTTTGGCTTGAGGTTGAAGAGAACTCTGAGGCTTTAAGGATCCTAGAGTTCTACCCAAGCAACAAAGCAATCGAACTCCTATCGACCAACCACCGTCGTACCACTACCCGGCAGCCAAACTCCATTGGATCTTCTCCCATCCGCTGATAGCCGTCGGACCACCATCTGTCCATCAATTTCTGTCGGGCCACTGCTCGTCCGGCGACTTCCATTAGACCACCGTTGCCGACCGACTAAGGTCCCTACGACCACCATCGCCCTCTGAATACTGTTGTCGGCCGACTATGGTCCGTCTAATCAATATCACATGCCAACTACGGTCCCTACAATCAATAATCGTCGTCCGCCGACTTTGGTCTCTCTGACCTCTATCGTCCGCCAATTATAATACCTCTAACCACTATCATCCGCCAACTATATATGATCCCTCCGACCATCATCGTTCGTTAACTACAATTCTTCATCTAATCTTTATTGCCCGTCGACTACAATCCCTTTGACTATCATTACCCGCCAATTGCGGTTCCTCCGGCTTCTATTGCTCGCTGACTATGATCCTTCCAAACCACCATCACTCGTTGATTATGGTCCCTCTAATCACTGTCGTTTGCCAACCAAGGTCCTTCCAACCTCCATTGCCTACCGACTAGAGTCCATATGACCTCTGTCACCCTCTGATTATGGTCATTATGACAACCGTCACCCAATTACGATGGTCTGACCTCCGTCGTGTGCCAACTATGTACTCTTCAGCCACAGTTGCTTGAGTACAATCCATCTGACAATTGTTGTACGACTACGATCCCTTAGGCCACCGTCGCATGACTACGGTCCTTCCGACCTCCACCACCCGCATATTATAGTCCCACCGACCTCCATCGTCCGTCGCCTATGATCCATCTGATCATCGTCGCCTACCAAAGATTATCCCTCTGACCTCCATTGCCCACCGACAACGATCCCTCCAACCAATGTCGCCTGCCAACTACGGTCCCTCCGACCATCATCACTTGCCGAATGCGATCCCTTCGACCTCCGTTGCAAGTCGACCACGATCATATTGACCAAACGAACAAGCTAATATTCTGTTGAGAACAACTCTCATATTAATGGATTCTTCCAAATCCAGCCATGTATGTGCCAATTTGATGTATATTATTAGGGGTGTAATTTCGGGTCATGGGTTGGGTTCGGATCGAACCCGAAACTGAACCGACAATATTCGGGTTCGGGTTGACCCGACCCGTTTTTACAAACGGGTAGATTTTCTAGACCCGAACCTGACCCGCTTTGGGTCAGATCAACCCGACTCGACCCGCGGACTGAAACGGGATGCGGGATTGACGCGAGATGCGGACTGACGCGGGACTGACACCGGATGCGGACTGATGCCGGAGGCGGGCAAACGTGGGGCGCGTGACGCGTGCAAATGCGGGACAAGGACTAACGCCAGACAGGGGCAGACCGGTTTGTGTGTCATTCTGGGTCATTTCGGGTCATTCCCGTGTTCCCAGGTCAACCTGAACCTGACCCGGTTTTTCAAACGGGTCGATTTTTCAGACCCGAACCCGACTTGCTTCGGGTTCGGGTCAACCCAAACTCGAAAATTTTCGGGTCGGGTTCAATATTGACAGATCTATATATTATCAACATTAAGCCAATGCCTTCCCCTGAGGAAGAGTCTAATTTGTAATCCACTACAAATACTAGCAAATTCTTTTCAACTAGGTAAGACTCAGTGGATTTTTTTTAGGATTTTTCACGTAAAAATCTAGTGTCACTTGTGAATATTGCATTGCTCTCTGCTATCTATATGTGTGTTGGATATTCAATCAAAGCTAAGATCTAAGCTCTTTATCTCTCTATCACCGCTAATATTCCTACCCATAATAATTATATAAAATAAAAACCATTTTTCCTCTTTATTTTTGAAGCTAAGAAAACATTTTTTTCACTAATTTCTTTAAGATCAACTCATTTTAAATACTTTTGATTTAAAAGGCTATAGTATTAAGCACTCTATCCTATATATAATAACATATTTTAAAGACAATATATATATATATATATATATATATATATCCATAAATTAGCCACATGACTCACTATCTCCTCATAAAAAGCAGCCAAAACCGCCCCCTTCACGTGGGACACCCCCTCAACAGCTACGCTAAGCTCCCAAACTCTCTCTCAAACGTCGTCTTCTCATCCATCTTTCCATCTCCACCGTCCATATCCCCACCCACTTGCGTACCATCCCTTTTTATTTAATAGGAAAATAATTACATAAAAATATTTTAATTTTTTTTAATTATATATAATATTAATCTTGCCGGAAAGTGTTTGCGCAATATTAATATCCCGCGACTGCGAGCTCCACTTTCCTATCCACGTGTGAGACAATGATTCGCTCCTACTCTAAAAGGATTTCCCCTTCTTCCACCCCTCGCCCATTATCATCTTCAGTGGCAGAGCCTAACCTCCCCATCCATCATTCATTTCAGCCATCTCAGACAATCGAGGAGAGAGAGAGAGATGGGAGGGAAAGGAGCAGAGGGTGGGGGAACTTACTGGGGGCTAGGAGCACGCACGTGCGACGGCTGCAAGGGGCCGCCGGCTCCCGCGGTACTCTTCTGCAGGGCGGATGCGGCTTTCCTCTGCCGCACGTGTGATGCGCGTGTGCACGGCGCGAACAAACTGGCCTCCCGGCACGAGCGCGTCTGGCTCTGCGAGGTGTGCGAGCAAGCGCCGGCAGCGGTCACCTGCAAGGCCGACGCAGCGGCCCTCTGCTCCGCCTGCGACGCCGACATCCACTCCGCAAATCCACTTGCAAGCCGCCACCACCGCGTCCCCGTCGTCCCGTTATTCGAATCCCCCGTTCACGATCCAGCTCTGTTATTCGATACCGATGATGGGGAAGAAGACGTCCCCGTGGCCGCAACTTGGATACTTCCCGCTCCGGCGAAGGATCCGATGATGATGAAATCGAACGACTGCTTCTCCGATGTAGATCCGTATCTGGATCTGGAATACGCTTCTTCGGTGGAAGCCGGGATTTACCACTCGGACAGCGTCGTGCCAGCTGGCGGTGGAGCTTCTCCAGGCTTCATCATGCTTGATTTCGCTAAATCCAAGCCGACGCATAGCTACACCATCAGCCACAGCGTAAGCTTACTCTTCAACCGGCGGATCTTGATCGATCGGTGTTTCATTTGATCTGTTTAGTTTTCGGGGGTTATTTTTTTATAGTGAGATCTGTTCTTCTTCGCAGATGTCTTCATCGGAGGTCGCGGTGGTACCAGACGGCGGTGGCAGCGCGATGGCGGACACGTCAACTTGTGCTGGCGGCGGAGTCGGCGGGGGGGAGAGACCAGCGATAATGGATCGGGAGGCGAGAGTGATGAGATACAGGGAGAAGAGGAAGAACAGGCGGTTTGAGAAGACGATACGCTACGCGTCAAGGAAGGCGTACGCGGAGGCGAGACCGAGGATTAAGGGTAGGTTTGCGAAGAGGACGGAGGTGGAGTCAGAGATCGATCAGATCTACTCGTCGGCGGCGGCCGCCACCGCTGCTTTCATGGAAGCTGTTCAAGGCTACGGCGTAGTTCCATCTTTCTAAGACTTCATCATGCGATCTCCATTCCTCTGTTCTCGCCATGGATGGTGGTAAGATGCAAGAAAGTGGGATTTGGGACTGAGTGGACGCAGAGTAGGAGCCGAGGAAGGACTCCATTTGTGTTAACCTTTTTAACTATTGTATATTACGTTTTGGAACTTCGTACTTTTCCAATTCTGATTATTGCCATTGCTACGCCGTCCATGAACTGGCCGTGCTTTCGTCTGTTTTCTTTTGCCTCGGGCCTCCACTGTCCGATCGATAAACGAAGCGCAAATCGCGGAATGTTTTTATAAAACCGGTGTTATTCCGGCTTCTGATTTTGAGTTCTGAAAAGCCCTTCGGCAATTTATTTTTAGGAATAATATCTATAATACTTAAATTTTAATTATTTATAAAGTTGTTATTTATATTTTACTTTTAATTATTAAATTTATGTATTTAGTAATGTATTAAACTATTAATGAGTTAGAATTTTATTATATATTTTAATATTTGACTGTCAATTTTAGAAATGAAGATAGGAGCGTAATAATTTTGTAAATAGCCAAAATTTATGAGTTCTTTATGTAACTTCACCAAAACTATTTGTTATAATAATTTTTTAAATTTGGCTATTTTTTTATTTTTTCTTCAAAATTTTGTATTTTACTCAGTTAACCTTTTGATAGTATGTCAACGCTCCCATGGAAATGGCTCACGTAATTTGAATAAATCAGAATAATTTATTTAACTATTATTTTTAAAATTTAACAAATATAAATTTAATTAGAATTTATATGTAAAAAAATTTCATTGGTTAGATTATTTCCTCTAAGATTATATATGGTTGATTGCTCATTATTTTCGAAATTTAAAAAAAAAAATTACATCTTAAGTCCTATGGTACTAATGAAAGGGAGAGAAGTAACAAGGGAGTTGACATAAAATAGAGTGAGCTCAACTGCCAAAATTAAAATAAAATGGGGAAAGGCTCATTCCAAGATTGAGCAAATAAAGAGCAACATCCATGAGTAAAGAATAAGAATTGGCTTAATCAATGGTCGAGTTAAGCAATTTTTGTCAAAAAATATATATGAAAATGTGCTTCAATTTTGAAAAAAAATTATAGTTAATGATATTTTTATGTGATTTAAAAATAAGTGTGCTATATAAGTAAATATAAAGTAGAGTCATCTTAAATAAATAATTCTCTTGTTAGAAATAACCGGTCTAAAGAATTACATAGCAAAAGAGCAACAAAAAATATGTAGTTGTGGTTTTCTTTATGTTGCATTGGAAATAGGGGCGTAAGTGAGCCAAGCCAACTCGCGAGCCAGCTCAAATTTGACTAGTTAACAAGCTTGTGATTTGAGTTTATCGAACCACGAGTTCTAGTTCGAGTCTATAATCAAGCTCGTATATTATACGAGCTCGATCTCAGAGAAACTTGGCTTGGTAACTCGTCGAGCTACTCGATTAAAAGAATATACAAGTTTTGTAAAAGCAAAGATGCCCTAATTTTATCATGTGACTGTGTGAGTTCGTGTCTTCATGCCCTTGAGCGGATTGGCGACGGCTGGGAGCGAAAGAGCTTTCTCCTTCATGTGCTCTAGAAGCGATGAGCCGTTTGCGAGAGGAAACTTTAGGATCGCACAAAACGGGCCAAAGCTAAGAGGCTAAAGATTCTTGAGTTAGGACTTTTTTACCAAGTCTTCCATCTTTTAGACTATTTATGTAGAAGTTTAGATTGTTTCATTTTTCAAGTAATGCTTCTTCCTTTTGCTTCTTTTTCAGACATGTTTGAGATTCGACTTCTCTACTAGTATTGCTCGGATCCTAAATGGCTAAGTCGTTCAACCGATCTACTGAATATTGCTTATGGTTTAAAAATCCTGAATTTTGTTATAGATTTTGCTTTGTATAATTATAAGTTTACAAATCCTATTTTTAGTGCTTATGGTTTGTGTCTATTTCTTTAGCTTATGCTTTGTTTGCAATCAATTGTAAAGTTTATTTGCCCTAAAAAGAATGTTTGTCTTATGGAGAAATTCATGAAGAAATGCTCGATTTTTAAGACTTGCATCATTTATTAGGATTATAACCCAGGTTGTTTTCGGTGTAGGCTGACCACCACTACTTTTCTGTAGACCCTGTGTTGTATTTATGTCGCACTTGCCACGAACTTTGGACTTTTTTTGTGGATTGTTTCTATTGATGTGTTTATTATGTTTGCGCGGAAGAACATGCACATTTTTCTTAAGTTTGTTTATTGCATGTGCTTGGCCTAATTTTTTTCTGCTGGGCTCTTTAAGGACTAAAAACTTTTTTTTCTCATAACTAAAAATTAAAATTTAAGGATTAAATAATTTAGTAACTTAACGAGCTAGGAAATTGCTGGAATCATCCGGGGTCGCATACATAATGTTGCATTCTTCTCTCTCCTTCTAATAAGACAACTCTCCGCCTGCAGGTAGAGTCTGGATAATCTGGCCTATGAGGATGAAGTGTTGGACATGGGGAGACCCAGTCTTTTCTAAAAATTTATTTTTATGTAAGCTTATTTTTAAAATAGTATGGATACATGATTTGGAGACTTTTAACTAGTATGTATTACATTAGAAATCAACTAAATTAAAATTTAATTACATTAGCTCTATGAGCATTCACCTTACATAAGTCTAGGGCCAATTAGAAAACTCTCTAGACGTGGCCCTACTTTCAAAACATTCAACCTACCTACATATCTTTCATAAAGACTGGATTGCATGGATTTTAAGCGTTTAGGTGGTTAGCTGGCTTCCCTCTTCAGGCAGGGTTTATAAGTCCAAGTGCATTAGCTAGGATACAGATATTAGTGTTGGGTATAACATTAATCCCATCTTAGATCTAGGATTTGAGGTTACAACACTAGGCATCTCGTAGTAGGCCTAAATGGTGGGTAAGTTCCTTTTCTTTAGGGACTGTAAATACTGCATATTCGCGTCACATGAATGATACCACCTCCATCCTTTCTCTCTGGATGTTTTTAGTGATTGATTTATTTTCTCCACTTTCTCAATGTCTTAGTCCCTCCTAGTGTGGATGTGAGCCATGCAATGTTGACTAAGCCACTTGGACAATTTCTTTCCTTTTGAGTGGAATTTCCTAGTCTCCCCATTTCTGCTTATTTTGAGAAAGAATAAAATCGGATCCTAAATCGAGAGTATTCTCGGGCCCTGGGCTCGAGATGTAATTAACCATGGGGGCTTGCCCCCATAGGAAACAAAATTCCATAACAAATAAATCCCATTCGAGCTGATGTATCGGATGGGAGAAACTCGTTGTTCTGATCAGGTCGTATATATTACTACCCATCAGGGTGCGATGGCGAGAGCCGCTATCCTCAATGGTTAGTCGTATATACGATCTAATCTGTCCTTTCATTGGCCTGTTTGTGCGGAGTGCAGATGTCGGTGATTGTCTCTATCCCTCAGGGTGGTGCGGTCATATACCCTTGCACTCTACAGCTGGCGGTATTCTTTCGGAGGTCCACATAGGGCTAGAACTAGATTGTACTTACCAGAGTTTTAAAAATTCAACCAGACCAGCAGGTTCGACTGATTCAAACATGAACCAATCTATATTCCCTTGAATTGCTGGTTTATTTTCTAAAATATTTAAATAATTAAATTAATTAATTTAATACATTAAGAATAAAGTATTAAGTAATATTTATAATTTAACAAATTCTTTTAAATTTAAAATACTTAACTTTTAAATAAAGTAATTCCAATTACGCATTTCATAAGGCTCTATCACTTAATGTGAGTTCTTATCACATTCAAACTCAAAAGGCAATATATAGTATAAGCATTACTAAGATGAAGTTTTTTAAGTGATGTGAGACTAAATAATTTAAAGTTTTTACTTCTTAAGTTTATAGCATACATTATATATTTTTAAATAGATTTTTTAAGTATACTTTTTATGATGTAAATGGCATTTATTTTTAATTAATAATGTTAAATAAATTATATATTTCATTTCTAATTATGTACTATAAAATTATTTATTTATTTATTATTAATTTTATTAATAAATTATCTAATCTTAATAATTTATAAATATAAATTTAATAGATAATTTATAGGTATAAATTATATCTAAACATATAACATAAATTAATAATAATTTATATTAATTTTATAAATATATACAACAACAACAACAATAACAAGTCTTTATCCCACTATGCGGGGTTGGCTGTATGAATCATTTTTCTCCATTGTGTATGTTAAGGATTAAATTATCATCTAAATCTAATAAAGAAATGACATTTCTAATCTTTTTTAACCAAGTATTTTTAAATCTACCTCTACCTTTCTTAACATAAGTCAAATCTAATACACTTACTTTCCTAATCGGATCATAAGAAGGATACAATTTTATGTGACCAAACCATCTAAGACAACTCTATTTAATGACTTGAATATAAGCATTAGTAATACCTTTCTTTTTTTGAACTCTTCTTAGCACTTCTCTTGGAACTTTATAGTATGCTTTCTCTAAATCAATAAATATTATAAGAATATCTTCATTATTCTCTCTATACTTCTCCATCAAACTTCTCAATAAATGTATGGCTTCCATAGTAGACCTATATGGCATGAATCCAAATTGATTTTGAGAAATATTAGTGTCACACTGCAATCTATGCTCCATAACTCTATCCCAAAGTTTTAAAGTATGACACATTAACTTAATTCTTTTATAATTTGCACAATCTTATGCATCACCTTTATTCTTAAAAATAGAAATCAACACCCTCAATCTTCACTCGTCTGGCATTTTTCTAGTATTCAAAATAATATTAAAAAGTTTAGTAAGCCAATAAATTCCTTCATCTCGTAAGCATTTCCACACATCTATTGGAATATCATCATGTCCAACAGCTTTTTTATACTTAATTTCTTTAAAACCTCCTCAACTTCAATTTTACTAATACGTCGATAAAAATAAAAATCTTTATTTTCATTTAGGGTGCTAAGGTCATTATAGTCAATTGTATTATCATAATCTTCATTAAAAAGTTTAGCAAAATATTCTATCTACCTTTGTTGAATATCTTTTTATACTAAAAGCACTTTTTGATCTTCATCCTTAAAACACTTCACTTGAACTAAATCCTTACTACTCTTATATCTTTGTTTAGCTAACTTATACATATATTTTTATTATATCTAAACATATAACATAAATTAATAATAATTTATA